AATATTATCGCACAGTAAGCGCGAGGGTCTGTGCAGATGTCCGTATGCCCGTTTGTTTTTTGTGACTCCACTGACATCCATGTGCCCCAGGTGGTGGACTTCAAAGAAGTCTAACAAGAATGACTACTCGGTCATCAGGTCTCCAGGTAACCATGTCCATAAGAGAGTATTACCAAGGCTTTACTGGTAGGGAGGTTTCTGATGACTAATTAACTAGTCATTTAACATAGAGATCAGACTTTCTAACATCAGACTACTCAACTAATATAAAACAACACCCAAAGCATTCAAAACACTAATTAGTAAAGTTAAAAAACAAAAGCAGTATTTTGTATGTATTTTTTGAAGCTATCCAAAACCTTTATTTTTCTTGTTAATCATGTTTTAAAAGTTGCTGCACTTTGTGTCACATATAATGTAGAAAACACAATGTGAGATTGGTTGGCAGAGTTTAGCTAAGTAGAAACTAGTTACATGCAATACACTCTCATTGCTTCTATCTCACTCATCATGCCAATAGTTGGCTAGTGCTCTGCCAGTAAAAACAAATGCATTTCCTTGTGTTTGTAGCTCTGAAAACACTAGTATGGAGTTGGCCCCTTCTCCCTGCAATTCAGAAAACATAGGTGCTGTTCAAAATTTAGTAGCTCCAAGTCCAACATCAACAGCTTGGCTGCCTAGTGACGGCAGACACGCCAATTCACAGTATGCAAACAACAACAACCCCAACTACAGCGGGTACTCAGTGCAGTACTACAAATCAGGCTTTTGGATATTCCCAGAACTTTGATATTTTCTTTACTTCAGACTTTGTGAAAAGTCTTAACGACATATAACTACAGCATGTTAAAATGAAAACAATACACTACCAAGATAATGTGTTTTTTTTTAATTGTCTATACAATGCATAAAAATAACCTATAATACATTAAAACAAGTAAAGAAAAACAAAAAAAAAAGGCAAAAATTCTCTATTTATTCTCTCTTAATATTTAATATTTGCTCTTATAGTCTGCACTACAAGTTGTTTTGATATAGTGACTCTGGTAAGTGAAAATGGTGTGGGGATCTGTTTAAAGCGCCTACATGTTTTGGTAGCAGTGTATCAATGTAATTGAATAAAATCACCATATTGGTACTTTTTCCTACCAATACTAGCCCTTTTATGTCTATGCATTTAGGTCAGTACAGACACTCTGATAAATAGGCTTCATTTAACACCAGTACAGAGTTTACTCCTGCACAGAAACACAATGGCGCCTTAACTACATTCAGACTGTGTTTTGGTGCATAGTTATACCCGAAGACCCATTCTGAGCCAGGAAAGGCCCTGATATATTGTCTAATAGTATGCTAAATGTTCTTTTTTATGGTTATCACTTGAACTATGACCTGGGAAGCTTTCTGCCCAACCTATAAATTAACAGTGCCACACAGTTTATCCTTTTAAGTAACGCCTCTCAAGAAAACACTCCGCTCATTTGTCATCTTTGGGAATTTCACAGAAGTACAAGCCCAGACTGGCAGAGGAGAAGAGGTGTCCTATCTACAGTATGAAATGAAATTGCTTAAAGATCCACTGGCAACGTCCAATCCTGTTTTCTTGCCTTCTCGTCTGCACACAAGAGAACCTGACTAGCTGGAAAACATGTGCGGGTAGAGTTGGGTGGGAGGGATGACAGTTGACCTTTCGTTAAATACAAAGCTGCTTTCGCTTAGCACACCACATCAGAAAGGCAGCCTTGCAGAGCTGCTCCCATGGGAGGCCTCTTTCAGGGAAGATGAGCTTAGTATCAGGTATCTGGACTTTGTGTCTCTAAAGCAGGAAAATCTTCATTACTCCAAGCTCCTGAACTCTAATTCTTTTACAACACAGCCACGCTGTAATTACAAAACAAAATAAACAAATCAGCAGAAGAAGAAAAAGACTGTTTTTAACTGCCCCGTATTCCCTCAAAACGAAAAACACTCCTGAATCAATATGATTCTTTGGCTAGTTTCTGCTAATATTTACAGAGATCAAACACATTTCACAGCACGCCAACCACCATAAACACCTGTATCTGTGAGGAACAGGGCAGCTTCGCCTCATCTCTGACAAATATCATGCACTGCCCCCAGCCTCATCATACAATAATGTGTACAATGAAGCACATTTTTTCCTTACCGTCCAGACAACAGCAACAACAGAGACCCCTTTGTCAGAGATTGCATCCTAACCAAACCTCAATGAGGTTTAGATCAACATTTTACATACAATCTCAGTATAAACTAATGTAACCCACACAAACTACTGATGTAGGGCATTTAAAAAAAAAAAAAAAAAACAACCCAAAAAACTGTTTTCTTTGCTCGAACTGACCATGAGGAAGTGTTACTGAAAGTAAATTCATGGTACCTCATTTATGTCCCTTTGCATGAGTCCCCCAAAGTGTTAACATTTTGTTGCGTTTTTATGAGAAACAGGGAGCATGAAAGCTAGCTGAAACTCCATCTTGAATCTTTTCAACAGAAGCTCAAATGTGTGCATTTAACCTTAAGAACTAATCTCATTGTGCAGTATTTGATCATTTTTAAACTTGTCCTACCTTTCCACACAAGTCAATTGAATCCCAAGTTGCTGTGCACCATGAATTTATGTTCCATAGCACACGCAACAAGATGATCAGCCCATTCACACTTTGAATTTAGCAATTTGTGACAGATGACAGCAGTTCATTGAAGAAGAATTATAGAAAACACCTTGCATTATTGTTGCACTAATAAGCGCTGCTGCCTGCAAGCAGTAAAATGTTCAGTACATTTTTGCTATACATATAATTATCACAAATTATCACCCAGATGGTTTTCTATAGCTGTGTCCAAAATCAAGGACTGCATCCTCCTGAGGACGCATTTGTAGACCGATTAGGCTGTCCAAATTCGTAGACTCCTCCGAATGCAGCCGACAAATGCGTCGTCCTTTCCCCCCAAATTTGAAGGATGGATTGGGTGTGTCCTTCGTGGCCCACCATATCCCAGCCAAACTCCAGTTTCCGGCAATGGCGGCCGCTACTAAGTTTTAAAATTACTCTTATTAATCTTTCTGGGTCACAAAATAAACTTAACATATTTTCAGTATTTCAGTATTATTTTCAGTATTATTATTTCAGTATATTACAGTATCTACCCAAGAGGAACTGATAGCAAATGGAGGAAAAGTACCCAAAGGCAGACACAAGAAGAAGTTCTATATTAAGCTTTAGCTCTTATCAGTCATACATATTAAGCCAATCAGGAAGCAAATGTAGGTATTTGCTCACTTGTTTCCAAAACTTTCTATTAGGTCAGACTGAGACATAATCCTGGGGTGTTTAAATTAAAACTGAAAGCTAAATTCCAAAGAGTTGTGTTCAAACAATACTAGACAAACGTGCAGCCCAGGCCAGCAGGCATACTGTGCAAACTGGGAGTTGCGTTGGTTTAATGTTCTGATGAATACAACCCTGACTAATAGCATATTTCTTTTTTCGAATATCACTCGGTTTTAACATCATCCATGTTGCTGTTCCAAGGAGGAAAAGAAAATGAAAACAGACATGCACACCCACTCAGTAGTTAGGTCAAGTAACACAATCCCAGCAAGAAACAGCAATAATAGCTATAATGATCAAGTCAAATCGTGTTCCAGCTGCTTAATAACTCAAGTAAAAATAATAATTAAGCCTTTTTTATTAAAACTACTTCATGGAGGAGACAACTGGGCCAACAACAGTGACCTGGTGAATTTGATTTTCTCAGTTCTGGTAATTTTACTTTTGTGTTTTATAGCTAAAACCTTTCTAGTGAGTTCCAAACTGTTCAATAAGGAGTAAAAGCCTTGAATTTCTACATATTAGGAGCAGTTTTTGGGGTTCAGTATTTGCCAAATGATAGGCAAAAAAAGAACACTTTATCTGCCTCCTGAGTCACATTTGTGTTTAAATCCAAAAAAATCTAGGGGTTTATAATTGTGTGGTTTTCTGCAAGTTAGAGAGCTAAATTAATCTTGCAATCTTTTTTTTTTGGCAGAATTAACCGATTGATTAGGCCTCATGCTGCCATCCTGCCAAATATCACTGACTGGCACATACATTAAGGCTACTTGATGCAGTGGATATACACAAGCAATTAGTCTGGGCCTATTTGTGCACCCCACACACCCATCCAAGACTCACAGTGGATGGAGCTGCATTTTCAAATCAATGGGAGAGTGAAGTACAGGCATAAAGGAAATGAACAATGCCTTCCTCCATGCCTGAGGAGGAAAAGTAATGGTTGTGGTGCATAATGGTAACCCCCACCTCAATACAACACAATTGTAGCACTCTGGCATTGAAACTAAGGAACATTACCCAGGCACCTCCTAATTAATAGTCTGCAATGATGTGGCTGCTGCTGTGATGCCATTTGTCTGCAGGAGAGCCAACGAGCAGGGGTTAAAGAAGAAAGATCTGTTGAGTCCTTTCAGTCCAGTTTTAGTTAAACGAATTAAAGTTTAATGAAATATATTAAATAATTGAACGTGGTAACACGGCTGAAGATTGTCTGAGCAAAGCTTGTAAAAGGGCGTCATGTTTATTCAACTTCCCCTATCGCCATAGACTGTTTGAATTAGCCAAGCGAACAACTCTGGATCTAATATTTTTTTCACGGACAAAACAAATTTAGCCAATGTAAGCCAGCTCAGCAAAGAATAGGACGAAAACGGAGAGCTGCAGTGACGCCACAAGCCCCATACTTACAGAGTCGCTTCTACTTTTCGGTGCCTATACTGATTCATTATGATTGGTAACGAGATCTGTTCTGGTAAATCAGCGACGACATTCCCTTTTCCTGACGTTAGCTGAGGTAAGCTAACATTTAGCCTCCAACCCCCATTCAAGTAGCTAGCTATCCATTCCACTCCACCCAAACCCCCTCCCCCATGACACCCACCCTGAAAGGGAGAAAAAGCCGTCAAATTTGGTCTAAATCCATACCTGGAGTGAGCCTGTGTTCGCCGCCAGTAGCCGGAGGAGACATCGAATGCGCCGGGCTGTCGACCGCGGGACGGAGGCTGCATCTTTGAGGGGACGGAGTGCTAGAAGTCCCCGGTAGTGGATTGCACCTTCTCCGCTTGGGAGACTGGGGACTGAGGAGGGCCTCAAACTCCATCGACCGCTTTAACGTAGCTCCACAAGCCATTATAGCTAAACAAAACGGAAAATAATAAGCAGGAAGAAAAACGACCCGCAAACGCTGGGCTTTAAACGCTCGTGCGTGTGTACGTTTAACGTTCCTCGGTTTTCTTCTTCGCCTTTCTTCCGCTCCACAACAACGGATTTTCTTCTCTCAGTAGTAAAGCAACTGCCGACCCTGCCTGCTGAATTTTTAAAACGTCACAAAGCCAGAGCCTACCATTACCGGAAATAGGGGGGTCTTCAAATATTTACAACGAATCTTTCTGTGTTTTTTCGCAGATTTGAAATGTAATTCTTATCCAGAATTGCTTTTGTAATGTCTTGATTAATTCTAACTAGATTAATTTGTCGTTTTCACTTTTTTAATACGGCGCTTCTAGGCTGCGTTTTCCGGCTGTCTTACCCTGTTGTTGATGTTGATGCCGTTCCCTTGAACTTAAATTCAAGGTTCACGAGACGTCTCGCCGTAGAGTTCAGGTAAATTAGGTATTTTAAAAACGGACCCCAAATTTTTTACCGACATATGGAAAAATTTTAGATTTAATATTTAGGTTAGGTTTAAATAGGTTTAATAATTAGGTTAAGTAACAGTTTAGAGCATAAATTCTCTACAACTGAGCTTTATTGTCACACACACACTATCTATCTATAAATTTAATCTGCTATGTCTTGCATTCAAACATTTGCGCATAGAGATAGTTTGCTATCTGATCTCTTAAAACACATCAGTGACCAAGCACAGACTCGGCAATAAGTAACCTGTCCATGATTGCATTAGTAACTTTGGCAAGACTGAAAGAAAAGGTTTAAAAGGTTTACAAGATAATACTGAGGCCTGCTATGATATGTGGTTTGGAGATGATGGCACTAACAAAAAGACTGGAGGCCGAGCAGAGTTGAAGATACTAAGACTTTCAGTATTGGAAATAAGTATATCAGAGGTATAACATTAGAGAGGCCAGGCTAAGATGGCTTGGATATGTGCAGAGAAGAGATACCGAATATGTATTGGAAAAGGCTGTTGAACATGGAGACAAAAAGAGGAAGACCACAGAGAAAGTTCATGGATGTAGTAAAGGGTGAGATGGAGGCAGATGATGATGATGTAAATCTTTAAAAATGTATTAATTTCCTCCACTGTTGTATTCTTCATTTGTTTATTGTCAAGTTTCCAATCATTGTATTGCATTTTCCTCAACAATATAAGAATTTTATAAATACCACCTGATTGTATAACACTTTCCACCAAATCTTTATAAAATAACCTTATTTGTTTATATATTGCAAGGCTATAACTTTAGACTAGTTTAAAATGAGTGTATACATATGATCATCCTTTACATTAAATTTTTGCTAATGATTAAAATTTAAATTTGATTAAATCGATGGCTCCCAACAGTTCCAGTTTTGCTTGGAGTGACAATAAAGCTCATCTTATATTATGTAAAAGAAAATGACCAAGAAATAACCATTTTGTTTTTGCATTCTTTTTTGCAGTTCTCATTTTGTCTTTCCTTTACAGCTGTGTGTTTTCATGCTTCTCTACAACTCACTCCCTTAGAGGTGGGGGTAGGTTTACTTCAGCTTGAGGTAACATCAAAGGAAGGCAGACTTTGATTACCAAGAATTGTAAAACCGATTCGGCTCTTTATAAACGCTTTGGTTTCAGTTAGGCGAAGAATAACAGGCAATTTTTTTTCTCAGCGTTTCAGAAGTCAGATTATGACACGAAATAATCAATCCTAATACTTCCTGAAGTAACCGAGATTATAATTTTTACAGTAATTGTGTAGCCCTACTTTTTGCTGCTGTAGTGAGAAAAATTAAGCCACATACTCGTTCAGTTCACCACCTGCTGCTATTTCTTCTCCAATGCAGTCATGTGCTTTACTGCTAGCTAATTTCACAGATTGTCTTCTGTGGTAGAGAGCGTCCCTTAAGTCATCCTAAAGACAGATACAGAGATGGGCCCACTTTATCAAATTAAAGAAATGTACTTGTGTAATTTGCTTTAAAAAAAGATACAAAGAGTCGAGACCAAGTGTTATTTTTAATAAGTTCACACAATGGATGAAATAGGTGTTCTAAAGTCTAAATCAACAAGCATCAGCTCTGATTATCTACCTCTGTTACGCTGTGTGTCACTGTGAGTGTAACTGCATATCAGTGTGCGCTCTACTGCAGCTGCCAGCTTTTACTATCGCAAAGACTGTTCTAGTGTCTGTGCTCGTTCTCTTCCTAACATCTGCTCCATTCACCTCTACACACTGCTTGGATTTGTGCAGTGAGCATTGTGTGAAATTCTGTGGGGTCCTGGCATTCATGTGCAGATTGGCGACCCACTGCTTCCTCTGTTCCTGCGTGCTCTGGGTCATACACTGAAAAATAAAGAAGCATGCTAGCAACAAATGGCAAACCCAAAAGTCAGCAGTTCAGTTCACGGAACCAGGATTTCATGGAATGCTAAAGTAGTGAGAGGGGAAACATGGAGGTCAAAGGTAAATGACCTTTATATGTGCTTAAATATTAGTAACACATAGTAGCATACATTTGTACAAAACAATTTACTTAGTCTGATTGAGTGCAGAGGTATTTATTTCCATTTAAATCTTTTGGGTGCAGTTATTGCAAAATGCTGAAAAAAGCTCTGTGTGTCCTCTGTGTAACTATCATTTTCTATTTTAAGCATATTAACTGGTAATAACATTACGGATTAATGGTCAACAACATACTTTATAATCTCTTATAATTAAAGTAATGTGTAATGGTCACATTGTAATTCCCAGGGTTTGTGTTTTGTTTTGACAAGTACTGTTATCATGCGTTGTTTACTTATTTACAAGCTTATTCGCAATTACAATTTAAAAAAAAGCAGTAAGTGACATTTCCTTGTATAGACAGATTTTATCCTGATCGACAGTGATGGTGTTGATCACTAGCTAACAGCTGTCGTGAAAACAAGTGTTTCACGAACTGTATTGCTTCTCTTTTATTTTAACGTTCAGCTTCCTTCACTTTCTCATGGTCAGCTGGTGACTGTAGACCATTTCTGAAATGGAGTCAGGTCTGGTGGTTCTGGCCTTGGGCATCTCATCGTCAGATAAAGCAGTACAGTTGTCTTCTGCAGAGGGTAGTCCATGGCTTGAGTCTTCTGTGAGTTTTTTACACCTTCCCTTGCAACACAGCTTTTGCAGCATCCGCAAAAGAGCAATTCTTAGTTCTCGAAAGCGCAGGGCATACAGCAGTGGGTTGACTGAAGAGTTGACCAGACAGAGGGTGCTGCAGAAAGCAAAGGCCCGCTGTTGGTCTCGGGTCAGGATCACTGAGACATCTACTAGCATGAAAGAAAGCACAGGAACCCAACAGCCCACCAGTATGAGCAGAATCAGGCCAAAGGTGCGAGCCAACCGGATATCCATCCTCATGCGAGATTGAGCTTTTCCTGCTGCTCCCTGGAAGCTGGTCATTGAGCACTCATGGCGGTGGGCCTTCCACAGGATGAGAGCATAAGCCCCCAAAATCAGAACCAGAATCACAAGGACGAAGCTGGTCCAGAAGGCTTGATAGTGCTTATTGATGTATGGAAACAAGTTTGAGCAAGGTGGAGTAAGGCCTGTGGAACACCTCCAGCCCATTAGAGGTAAGAAGGAGAGGAAGATGATTGTACTCCAGAGAATCAGAAGGCTCAGCAGGGCTCTGCGCCGTGTCAGCAACACCTTGTAAGTCGAGGAGTGGTAGATGCAGATGTAGCGGTCCAGAGCAGTCAGCAGTAAACTTCCCACTGAACCAGAGAAGGCCATGGTGACACCGCCTAGCTTGAAGAGGTAGGCGCCTGGGCCATCTTTGAGATGAAAGAGGTGAAAGTGTAAGAAACTTATGGTGAAGAAACAACTGGCAAAGACATCAGCCAGAGCAAGGCTGCCAATAAACAGATAGGATGGCCGCTTTCGCAAGGTGGCTGTGCTAGCAATCACCCCAAGCACAAGAACATTTTCCAGTAGTGTGACAGGGCCTGCCAGGAAACAGATGGTGCCGATGGCTTTCCTCTCTTCGTCACTCAGGACCATGTAGCACGTCAGATTCACACAGGACTTGTTAACTAGGAGAAAAACACAATCAGTACCGTGACAAGTCTTAGCTGACCAGTCAACTGTACATACAGATGTCCTTTTTTTTATATAACACAGAACTGAATTTTACCATTAATGGAAAGCTGCATAGCTATTGTTGATGAGATATTACCTGTGTGTCCATGCTCTACAGAAGTAGCTTTCTCCCCGTCCGTCATTCCAGCTACTATAATTAGGAAATGAAGTACAAAAAAGCTGTAACAAATGTTACAAGTTATTTATGAAGCACAGATGTCTCTACAGAATCTGATCTTTCATTCACATCTTTATGTGTTAAGATTCCGTCACTTTGACGTATGTCACATTAGGTTGGACGGGACAGGTAACTTCCCGTGGTGAAACAAACAAAGCAGAAAACGGGATTACTTTTTTATCTTGTTGTCAACATTGAAGCTGGAGCTTAAAGGGAACATAAATGTCTCTGAGTCAAGACAGAAAGTCATTTAGAGGCCAAAACAAACACACAATCATCACAGTTTCAGCTGATGATGTTACGGGAGAGATAGTCGCCTGGTAGAACATGGTTTCAAGCAAGCCATAAAACACCTTGATTTTTACTGAAGGCTGAATTGAGTTTAAAAATACACAGAGATCTATCCTTGTGCCTGTTATGTTAAAAAATAAGCCAATTTTTCATCATGATATGTTCAGTGTTATAGTGAAATTTCAGCTACTATATCTCTAAAACATTTAGCTTTCCCATTCATGTCAGGAACATCTATGCACATCACATAAATGTTTATCCCCTAGAGTGGATACTCTGCATTATAAAATTATGTCGTTTTTGTTAGCTGGCTTTTTTTGAAATATTTCCAGACTGCTGTTGCGCCGTCACTGTACAGGAGCTCCATGTTGGTGCCCTCTTGTGGAATCAGAGGAGACTGTATTTAGTCGTTTTATGAGCGGGTGAAGGTCACAGTTGAATTAAACGATCTCCAGTGAAGTGCGTCGCCTGTATGCAATCAATAGATTAAAGGGTTTGTGGAAAGCTGAGGCAAAAACATTACATTGAAGTAAATTATGCTGTTATAAATGAAAAGAACTGCCTTTAAATGTTTGCACAAAGTGGCTTAAGATTGAGGATTTCTTTGTTCTTTTTTTTTTTTTTTGGCGGGGAACAGCATGACTGATGAAATACAGAGGGTTTAATCAAAATATTCCTGAAGCAATATATTTCTAGAGCAGCTGATAAACACTCAGAAATTATATAAATATGATTAGGTGTGGCATTGTTCCAATTATACCACGCTATACTGTTTCCACTGTATCTGTGACACGGCCATGTGAAGACTATAAAAATTGCATATGTATGAGGCCAAAGGAAGCACGTATTGAGAAAGATCCTTATTGAGAGACCTTTTATGAACATTGTGGTGACATGCGCAGCGTCGTGTGGCAATAACCCCTTGAGTCACTTTTGCGCCTTGACACATTGTTACAAAAGATCATGAACCCTTTGGGCAGAATTGGAATAAAAAAAAGAATAAAACTACTATTTGAAGTCACTCTTCTTTTATGTATTGCAGGAAACAGAGACTTTATTAAAATAAGTCAGAAACAGCAGGTCAACTCTCTACACATTAGATTAGAAATATTGCAGAAAGCATATTTTTTTCTAACAATTTCACACTTGCAAAATGCCACTTAAACCAAATTGCTAAATCTCATATGTAAGAGAAAAATTTTAACTGTGTTAAATAAAGTTATAAGAGCTCACCTTCTCTTCTTTCTTGGCAAACTACTGAAATATCTGATTTCCTGCCTCTTAGCCGCAGAGCTGAAGCTGCATGACACGCAAAACAGCAGACGTGAGTACTGGTGTGCATGTGAAGGGAGAAGAAAAGGAGGGTATAGCTGTGATGACATGAGGGGGCGGGAGCTGCTTAGACGACATCTGAGATAAAACAAAAACCAAGCCCAATTTTTGATCAATTATCCACTCTCTGTCACAAATTCCAATTTTCTTCTGTTTGTTTTTTTCCGTAATATTTTCTTAAACAGAAATAGAGATTACCAGTAGATCATTCAAAGATCAACCCTTTTGAATTTTGAAGTCTCTCATATATTTCAAGTATGCTTCATGAGGTTGGACTGTGGCGAAAAGCCAATAAGATTATTGAGTGTCAGATATCAAATGTTAAGTGTAAAAAGCATGATCATAAAAAGAAAAAGTGGGCCATAATCACATTGGGTTTTGCAGCATATTTTGCAAGTGCCAACAGCTTCTTATGGTGCCTAAATATCTCAATAAGAGAACTTTTGTTATTTCTAACGAACTACCTAAGGTCAAGATTGAACTGTCCTAGTCAATGTGAAGCCCTCTTTCAATTAGATTATTTCTATTTAAATAGCAATTGTTTTCCACCTCTTTTTGTTATTATCTTCTACTCATATTCATCTGACAAAACAGCATCTATCATAACAGAAATATGTGCGTATACCCTGTCCCTGCAGGATCACTTAGTTAATGCTTTACTCCAGGGGTAGGCAACTCCAGGCCTCGAGTGCCGGTGTCCTGGAGGTTTTAGATGTGTCCATGATCCATCACAGCTGATTTAAAGGGCTAAATGACGCCTCAGCATTTCTTGAAGTTCTCCAGAGGCCTGTTAATGAACGAATCATTTGATTCAGGTGTGTTGACCTAGGGTGGGATCTAAAACCTGCAGGACACCGGCACTCGAGGCCTGGAGTTGCCTACCCCTGCTTCACTCATTAATTTTATACTCATAAAACATTGCTTGAAGGATTAGAAGAACACCTTGTTGCAGTTTATAGAAGTAAAGGAATTGTAGATAATAAAAAGATGGCTTTAATTCCTTGGTTTTCTTGTTTGTCCTGCAGTAGACTGCTGACTTGCCCAGGATGTACCTCGCCTTTTGCCCTATGAGAGCTGGGGTAGACTCCCCCCCCCAACATGAGCCAGGAATTGGATAAGTGGAAGAAAACAGATGGTTACTACAGTATTGCGACAAACCCGTATAAAGATTTTTAGATGTAAAAGTTGGCATCCTGCATTTGGCTGGCACACATATTATGACAAATATGGTGCAAGAACACAGAACAGTTAAATGTGGATAGACATGAAACGTGTATTCTGCACTCACAAATAATCTTGTCACGATCCTGGGTCTTATGACCCAGTGTTTTGAGTTTTAGTTTATTTTGATGTTTATAGTATATGGTTAAGCTCATTAGTTTTTCTATTTCATTTGTTATTAGATTCCCCTTGTGTCTTCCAACCCCTGTTAAGTCTCCCTTGCCCTTCATGTGTTTCATGTCTGTGTCTTACGTTGTCAAGTGCAGGTTTGTCATGTCTGCGTCTCATTATGTTTCCTGTTTTATTTTGCAGAGGTCCGATGTTCCTATGTTCAATGTTTTTAGTTTTGCTCTCCTCTTGTGATGTCCTTATGTTCATGTGTGTCAGCTGTTTCCCCATGTGTTTCCATTTCCCTCATTATCCTCCTGTGTGTATTTAGTCGGTGTGTTCTGGTCATTCTTTGTCAGGTCGTCTGTTGTTCACGCCATGTTCTTTACACCAGGTGTTTGTTTAGATTTCCCAGTTTAGATTTGTGTTAATTTTGCTTCAGTTTGCCTTGCTTTTTGTTTGTACCTTTTACCAGCCTCGTTAAACGGCTCGCTTTTTGTTAACATTCAAGTTTTGTTCCCTGTTCCTTGGAGTCTGCATTTGGGTCCTTCTTGTCGATTCATACAGTCTGCCCTCGACAGACTGCGACAAATCTGTTAGGAAATAAAAGTTGATTATGTTCATCTGGGCGTAGTGTTTTCAGTGGTAGAAACGTTTCATCACCCATTTAAGTGACTTTTTCAGTCTTAGCTCACTCCAAGTTCCCCCAACTTTATAAACAATGCATCTGCACAATGACTGAAACTTAATGAACAATGGGCTATGAGGTCAGTTCCTTGATCATTAATATGCAAGTTCTCATGATCAAAGACCATTTACCGAAGGCCTCTACATTAAAAATGCTACTTTTGGGATTTCCTTACCTGGATGATTGAGCATTCATCAAAACCCGTACAACAGACAACTTTATAGTTTTTTCCTCTGTGTGTGTGTGTGTGTTGCAATTCAATAAATCTGACTACATGTTTGATTTTTGATCCTTATATTTCACCACCAAATTCATTCTAATGTGAGCCACTCTACTTTGACAGGATTTCAAGTGTCCAGTTCAGCATTTTGAAATTGAACTAGTCAAATACTATCTGCATAGTGATAGCACTGACTCACTTGACCTGAAACCCTTTTATGTGAGTAGTCCACTCGCCCATTGTATTGTAGTACTGGTGGCAGTACATAGGGGGCAATACTAGGCAACCCTGATTCAGTAGGCAATATGACTGAGTCAGGAAACTGGCCAAAAGCATCAGACTAAAGGTGACAAGTTAAAAGTTTGTTTAAAGATTATTCATTAGAGATACAAACGCAACAAGCAGTCCACTCAGCAATGAGGTCATTTAATTTAGATTAAGTCCCATGTGGTAAAAATAGGCTGCATTAGTTTGACAACAATTTAATCAGATCTCTAAACCACATACCCGAGGCAATCTGAAATAAATTAGCAACCTATTTTAGCATTTAGAGAAAATCATGCGTCGGTAACTGGGTCTGACGAATTTAAGTAATATATCAAATTTCATGAAGGAAAGGAGTTAGTGTTCTACTACATGACTGTTTTAAAGGAAAAGGAAACAAAAAATGTCTCGCGGAAAGGCAGCGATATCTGGTGCACGGGCTGTGTCTTCTCCTACTTTGACCTGATAAAGTCAGCAGGACAGAAAGCAGGAAATGTGATTAGGAGCAGGCAGCACAGCTTCAATAAGATTTCTACTCGCTCACTGTCTGTCCAGGTGCAGCATAAACACGACAGACAACAGGGCAGACTAAAAGCTGAAATGTTCAATTATCTGTTGAACTGCATCATCCTGTTACACAATCCATTTTTAGAAATTGCCTTGGACACAAACATCAGGGCCAGCTCTGCTGCTTCAGACAGATTTGGATTAAATCCATTAATCAAATTTCCGCTCCTCATTTCCAGATTGCCAGACCCTCAGGGAGCAGTATCAGTTCACTGACATGAAGAACACAGGAAAAAATGATCAGGCAAAAAATCTAATTACTTGGATGCTTAATTCTTTAATCATGCTTAATTGTTTACTTTGTTTTTGTTAAATGAAAGGCTTGACTTCTAAATATGGAAATGAAACGCACCAAATGAAAATTGCAAAAGCACACAGATAAATCTAAATCTCTGACTCAAATAGCTTTCAATTACATCGTCATGGGAAACGGGGTGGAGTGGGTGGAGACGTGTGTCCAGGGGGGATTTGTGACAGAAGGATAGCAGCAGGTGATGTATGGTTTGGGGACAATTTGAAGATGGAGGTGGCAGAGCTGAAGATGCTGAGACCTTCAGTGGGAGTGACCAGGATGGATGGGATTATTAATGAATTCATCAGAGGGACAGCTCAGGTTTGACACGGTTTGGACATGTACAGAGGAGGGACAGCGAAGTGGGTTGAAAATGGAGCTGCCAGGCAGGAGTAAAAAAGGAAGATTCACGGATATACGTAATGAAGGAGGACATGCAGAGAGTTACATTCAGGTTCATAATGTTTTGGACAATAATACAGTTTTGTAATTTTGCCACTGTTTGTGTCTGTGCCCCTGGAAATTGTGCATATCACCAATTGTTTCCTCTTAGTTGCAGCTTGTTTATGGGTCTCTCTGACTTCATATTAGAAATTAAGGCAACTTATAGCATCTTTATAGTAACCGAGGAGCATGCGTCATTAGGTTCAAGATCACGTGACTAACTTGGCCATTCAAGATTGCCCAATTTCTTTATGTTCTTTATGTCTTTATGTACTCTTGGTTTGCTTTTGCAGAGTGTTTTGGGTCGTTATTCATTTGTACTGTGAAGCACATTTTGACTACTTTTGCAGCATTTGGTTGATCTGAGCAGAGAGTATAACCCTGTGCACCTCAGTCACATCAATAAATACTAGTGGCCCAGTTCCACCGGTAGCCACACATGCCTACATATAACATATTTCACAGACAGATCATGAGCTGTTCCTTTCTTTCACCATACTTTTATCTTGTCATCATTCTGATACAAGTTCATTTTAATCTTTGTTGTTCAAAACAATCTTTTTCACACCTGTATAAAAATGGCTGTACTTCTTAAAATACATCATAAATTAAAGATTAAACTGTGCTCTTCAATCACATTTTGACGGTTCGATTTGAAATTTACTGTGCTGGTGTACTGTGACAAAATTACAAAAAAAAAGTGCAACTGTCTAAAAATGTATGGACCGAACTGTATGTTTATTGCAATAACTGAGTGAGAGAAAGATATCAATTAAGTATGACAAGGACAAGGATATTCACTTGCTTAAAAATTGAAATTTAACAGACAATCTAGAGCGTTGTTTACTTTCACTTCAACTGGGACATGATCAGGGTTCTTTTTGAGGGAATACGAAATATGAAAAGTGATAGCTACAATTTTTAATTCAACATGAGAGTTATGAATGCCGCAGGAACCTCGATGGAGTTCACAGAGATATCTGTTTATCTGTAAAGAGAATATATATTTTAATAGGTGACAGCCACATCCTGTAGCATTGACCAGACTTCCCACAACCCACAACTGCGTAAACTCTATTTGTTTCTCAACAAGAGAATTAAAAACACAGCTCTGCTCTCAGGTCTGAGGCCTCTGACCTCTTCTGTGCCAACAGTCACACTCAACAGTCTTTTAACTGCAGTCATGCTGAAATGTGCAGAAGTTTCCTGTTGGGCCCGTACCCACCACTAACCGAGTCAGTTCAGCAGCAAATTTTATAAGAAAGAATAACTCCTTAACAAGTTAGTGCACAGCTGAACGAGACGATACAAGGCCAGCCTATAACCAGGATCCCACTCCGTCAGTCACAGGTAACAAAGCGCCTGGGAATAGCATACCTTATCATAGTATAGGATTAGGACTACATATATTGATTTGTGTTATCTATTTAAATTGGGTCACTGCAGTGGGTAGGTCATCAGGCTCAACGCCCCTCAGCTTATGTTAGCTTTGCTGCACACAAGGTCTTGCATTGCATGAATACAAGAGGTCATTTGTAATATGAAAATCTGAGTTCATAAAACTTGGATGACTCATTTGTAGTGTTGTGGAATTTTCTGTAAAAAAAAAAAAGGTCTGCAACACTGTCAGCTGTGGTCAAGCTATTTTATTACTGCATGCATGCAGGAGAGCGAACACACACATCAAAACATCACAGGTCTGAGTTACGAGCGCTCTGCCCTTGGGGTGTCTGAGCTCCTCTTTTATACCTTCACAAACAACTCTCTGTATCTTCCCAGTTACAACAGGTTTCTGTCCAATGGGCTGTTTCTGGGCAGAAAACAACTCCCACTATCTATTCCCAGGAAGCTCTTGGCACTGGTCATCTTGGGAGTTTAGTCCTTCTACGCCCTAACAGTTAGCAGATAACATAGTGAAACGTCGTTAAGCAAAGCTAAGCAGTTTTCAAAAGGTCATGCTGACACATACACATACTCCATCTAAGCATATGCACAAGCACTTAAATACTTTAAAAGAGAATAATAGATATTTTCTATTAAAATAGTGAATAAAAATGACACCTGCCATGCACATGCATGCAGATGCAGAAAATTCTAATTATTGGATGATAACCTGCACTTGGTGTCCCTGCCCCCCAAAAGTAAAATGAAACCCATACCCGTGATTGCAAGAAAGTCATTAATAATTCAGAAATCATGCACTGCTATTTCTGGTGTGGTGATGCCAGCATTAGTCGAAACAAATAAGGAGTTAAATGTATTTGTAATTTAAACAGCTTGTTAGATTCATAAAGCTGTAAAATAATACAAGTGAATTGAGCCTTTGCTCATGTAATGACGGAAACTGGGAAACCTGAGAAATGTTGTTGAAAACTGCCATTATTTCTCATCTGTTTTGTCAGGGCCATATATATATATATATGAAAATAGTTCTGTCAACTACACGTCAACAATAACTTTTTCATCTGAAATGGTATTTTTTCCTGTTTGGTTTCAGTGGTTCATTCCAAATATGCTCTGTGGGCATTTTTCACAGAAAACCATTTGCGGCTGGCACATCTTCAAAAAAAAAAAAGTGTTATCTGAGTGTACCAACTTCATCTGCGCACTGTGATGCTAACTAAATAAATCTTAAATAACAGTAGGGATGAGAAGGACCTCCAATTTAATGTGCCTGTTTTACCCAAACCCACTTATAGATCAATTTCACCATGGGTTTCATTTTAATATTTAAATTCTGTAAATGATGTGTTACTTTTATAGCATATTAAGTTTCTTTGTTAAGTAACTAATGTACAAGGTTTAATTTGAATATGTTTACTGAGTGTACAGATTTTCTTTATATGTGTTGAACTTATTGCTGAGCTGTGTGAAACTGCTTCTGTACTTTCCCCACTTCCCTTTGTGTGGGCATATGACATACATTTTGCACCATTCAAGTTCATATTCATAACTTCAATCACTTGTTTGTAGGCCAACAGGACTCCGTAAACAATCAGGCCAATAGATAATCTGTAATTTTGTTCTTTTTCTCTGTGTGAGGAAAAAAGTTTCCATCCAACTTTCCAATTGTACACTATCTGTGTGACATGTTGACACTGCTTGGCTTCTGCAGCCAGTCAAATATGGCGAGTAGTCCTTTCCACCCCCCCATGTGTTTCTAGCGACCTACCCAGTCTCTGGGTGACCTACATAGCTGACTCTTGATTGGCACAGCCCCATTTCAGAGATTACTTTGCTTTGGGGAGTGTCCTGCCTTGCCATGGCCTTCAGCCTTCAGCAGCGTTGTGCAACTCTTTAAAAATCCAGGCGAGAAAAGAAGGCAAGGCCTCGGTGACACAGAGCGATGACACTTAGCCCTGCCTGCGCTCATAAAACCTACTGGAAGACTGCCATGGAAGTCAAACCTCAAAGTCCTTTGAAAAGATTGGGAGGAAAAGTGAGACCAACATCAAAGGGACAAACAGGGTAATATATGTAATATAGCCCCCCAACCCTTATTAAGACCTCCACCCAATGAATTTAAATAAAACAAAACACTTTTGGGATGGACAACCGCTCAGAGACATTGTTATTACAGCCTGTTGCTGCTGTGTCAAGTGGGCATAAAAGGGGTTAACCTGAAAAAGCAAGAAATGTGATAAAACAAACCAAAACAGTTTCCTGTGGCACAAACCTCAGTAAATCTAAACACTGGACGTGTTTACAACCTAACCGAAGGGGTAGCGGACATGCTTGGTGTCTTGGTGTTACATAACACTTAACTGCCTCTATGCTCACTCTAAACCTTTACGTAATGTTTTACGTGCCATCTCGGGTATTTCCTGTCTATTACGTTAACTTCCAGAGCCCGAAAGTGGTGTTTTTTTCCTTCTTTATTTCACTTCTCTCGGGAAATACCCGAGCTCCAACAAAGGCAAGGAGAGGAGGGTCGGCAATTAACGTCACCAGTCTGGCAACAGGCAACTTGTCGACTGCCTCTTCGATGATTGGTTGTTTATTTCTTAGTCGCTTTATGATTGGTTAGATTTGCGTTGCAAGGGAGTACATACCGCTGCTGTAGAGTCCATTTTGTCGCAATTCTGAGTCGGGAGAGAGAGAAGTGAGATCTCTTCACCGGCCTTTAACACCAAATAAGCTTCGAGAGTGACGGATTTGTAGGAGATATAGTTTGCTGTGCTTCCTACATAGTCCGTAGAGGGAGTTTAGAAGCTAACTGTAAATTCTTTTCTGACGAAAGGCTTTAACAACCAAGCCTGAAGAAGTCGGTAAGAAACAGTTTTGTACCTCGTCGCCATATTAAACCGAGTTTCTTTGTTTTGGTTCTGTGCCAAAGTAGAGCGTCCTAGATCATAAAAAAAACGTTAGAATTTGAACCACTGGATTTGCTAATTAATTAAATGATCCTATATGAAGGGTATACAAACTATTTCGTTTTATTATTAATTTACTACACAAGAACAAGGGAAAAAATTGGCCGCAGTTTAAGCCCAGCCTGAGCAAACAGGAGTGGGCTATGATGTCGCACTTTTCTTACATAACATTTTCGTGTGATAATCGCTATAGATTACAAGTTATATGCAGGGTTTTTATAAATGTAATGGCGAGGAAATGTCATTTTGTCGGTACTTCAATGTTATGTAATAGAATATTTGAAGAAAACGTCAGTTCCCAGTCACACGTCACAACACTGTGAGCGCTATTGTTATGTTGAGTCCTGTCTATTTAGCATATCTAATGGACGTTAAGTCCTGTCAAGTTAGCATATCTGATAAGCGTTTTTTGTTAATGCCCTGAAGGGTCGGCGACTTCTTGGAGTATCGTGCGCCGAGGTGAATTGATGTTCAGCTCGGCTTCACGAGAAAACAACGCTTATTGGCACATGAAAACCTCAGACCCTGCTGGACACAAATGTGCAGCGAGAGGTAGACAGAAGACTACTTCGAGGACCTGGGGCCCGATTGGAGGAGAAAGATTGAAGAGAGACGTCTACTCGGTTAACTTTCTGACAACAAAGAGGTGAGCTGGCGCTGTTTTCCTGGTGTCCGTGTGGGGGATGGGCGAGCCTCGCTGTCTGGTGTTTCTGCACGTAGTCTCTGTACTTGTTTTTATTGTGATGTGGTGCGCCTGTGCTCGCGGTTGGTAGTCAACAACTTGCGCTGTAATTGCATAGATTATTAGCGTGAATAGAAATGTATAACCAGAGTTTATTTTTAATAATACTATTCTCACAATTTAGGTGACACGTAGAGCAAAAGCAGTATGGGAGGTGGAGAGAGGTACAACATTCCAGTTACCCACCCTGAGCGCCCTTTGGCCAAGAAGAACCACCAGCTTGGCCGGGCAAAGCAGCGAAGCCGTGACCAGAACGGAGCAGCTGCATCCGTAGGGGGGGCAGGGGGCCTTCACCACCACGGCCACCGACGGAGCGAGAAAGGCGCTGCCTACCACAGGTCTCCAGAGACACGGCAGGCCGTGTCTGCAGAGAAGAATGTTTCTGTCCGTTTTTCCACCAACTATGATCAGAACTGGGAGGGTGCAGTGTCTCATCTCAACACACTCCTGGCAACCCAAGGCAGCCCAAGCTATGCAGGGCCTAAATTCAGTGAGCCACCTTCACCCAGTGTTTTGCCCAAACCCCCTAGTCACTGGGTGTCTTTCCCTATCGGCTCCTGTGACAACAGGGAAGTTATGACCTTCCAGCTCAAGAGCCTCCTGAAGGTGCAGGCCTGATGGGGGTGATACCAGTTCTTCATTTAAAGAAAAAAAATAAGCCAATGCATGGACCCACCCACCAGGAACGCCTCAGTTCTGTAGTATTTTTTAGCTCTTTTCTTTTTCTCTCCTTTTTTTGGCTGACCTTCAAAGTTGGTGGATGCTTGACAGGAGCAATGTTTTGCAATTCCTGTTTACCATCCATTTTAAAAAAACTGATCATTTAAAATTTACAGAATTGCAGCCTTGCTGGTCGGTGATGCCTTTAGCGGAGTTTCTGTGACTATGACAAACTGGATATTCTTTGTACTTATGTTTTGTTTTGTTATTTTTAATCTTGGCTGCCAAGGCAGATTGAGTGTGCTTTTTTCCCCAAACAAGGATGGTAACATTAGTCAGGTAAATTCCCATCACTTTTACGGTCCACTTCTTTGGACAGACATGGTGTTTCATTTATGTTTCTATGAAGAATGATCTTTGGAGTTATCTCCTTAAGCTTTAGGTGCTAAAGCAGGTTCATATTTGTAGCAATTTTATTTCTTTTAATCAAGGGCCCACTGTTGTTTATATATCACATTCATTGTTTGGCTAAAGAAGGCACTCAACTGCAGTTCTGCAGGGAAAAAAAGATATTTTACAGGAGATGAGCTGTAGTGTAACTACAGGTTAATGGTATAACCTCAAACGAAGGGTAGTAAGAGACCATGGCACACTGGCTTTGGACCACCAACTCACGTACCCTTTTTTACTGCGCTGTGCGCACATGCACTTGGAGTTGAGTGTGTCCAAGGTCTACAGCACTCTTATCATAGCATTATTTTGTATAAGTGCTTTCTGTTGTGGTTGTTGAAAGATGTATAATGTGCTGTGTATAACCAAAGCAATGTTTTGCTTTTCTTTTTTTGGACATTTGGGCAGAAGGCAGTGTTGCCATTTCCACTTGCCAACTCGAAGTGAATGGTTTGAGGTCTCCTTGATCACTTGTTCATCTGTTCTGATCAGTACCGTTACTGCTCCTCAGTCTCTGCCTCTTCAGGACAGTGCCTGCAGCTCCAACATGCGGAAGGGGGCCTTGCTTAAATGTGGGACTACTGAGTTTTGTTTTCTCAAAAAAAACCCACATTGCCTGGCCCTGTTGGCTGTATGCTTTTGTGCACAAGGCGAGACAGAGCTAAGGAATGTTTCTGAAGAGGCCCAAGCGCCTCAATGTGAGACAGGAGGCTGGTGTTTGTGTTTACAAATTAAGTCTCAATGGTTAACTACCCCATAATCAACAGACACTTGCTGCCTGTTGTCTCTTGCACTTCTGTCCCTTAACCTTCTGCACTGCAATCAGACTGTTTTCTTTTTTTCACAAGTTACAGGCCAGGATGCTGTTCAATTAACGGAGGCGTAATTGACTATCTTCTATGGATTCTCTTTCAGTTCTCTGTTGAGGCTCTTTGCTTTCCCTTTGCAGAATTGGAGCCATTCATGGCCAGCTTAAAGATGACAAAACAAAGTATGAAAGCTTGTGAGTTCAAGAGCCATGTAAATAATGAACTGTATAAAACACTTGTAGCATATGTACATTTGCAGGCCAAGTTTGTGGCCTGTTTGACAAAAGTATTTTTAGTAATAACACTGAATGTATGAGACATGCTAAGGTCATGTCTTGACTTCAATACTGAAGAATATTTTTGTTAAAAAAAAAAAAAGCTGCCTATAGCATCTATCAGTACCCCTATACTCTGATCTTTCCAGAGTTATTGCACATTTTTTATTGTGTATTGTGCAGTGTAGGTTGAAAGATGCTAAATGGGAAAAACAAGTAAAATAGAAAAAAAAACTCCCAATTGGACTCTAGGAGACTTGCATATGTATAGATTTGAGTTGTGAATGTGCTTACAATGGTGTGTAAGCATAGCACTTTTTTATTTTGTTTTATTTTTTACAAAAAAGAAAAACTGTGCCTAAGTTAAAACTCATACTGAAACTGACCATAATCATTGGTGGAAATTCCCAAGTTGACCAAATATTTTCCAGACATTTTCGGTTCTTGGCTGTTCTTCCGCCTGCTGACAATTGAAAATGTCTATTATTTTAATTACTGCCTTTTCTTGGTTCATGTAAACCTTTTTTTCTTGCCCAGACTAAATCATGCATGGCAGTCTCCATATTCAAAATTTTAATCAGTGAATTGGCTTTTTAATTTGTCCCTCGGATGAAATGTCACCAAGAACAATGAAATGTGCCCTGTTTACAATTGGTGTTAATTTGTTACAAAATGTAAAACAAGAAAGCACTCTTTGAATTGATGAAAAACTTGAACGAAAAAAAAAAAACCTCAAACAAAAAATTAAATCCCCTCCCCTACCCCCCTACTTTGTGTTTGAGTATTTTTGACTTGATATAGTAACACTTGTTTGACACTACCTTTACAACACAGCTTGTTCAACTAGAGCAGTGTAAGAATGTATTTATTGTCAAAAGATATCAGGTATAACAGTTTAAACAAGGGAGTTACTTAGGGACACGAAAAACAATTGATTCTTATCTTTAGTATATTATTACATAACAAAATGACTCTATGGGTACCAGCTGTATCAGCATATCTTTCATTGTCACAGCAATTACAATAACTATAGTATACAAGTTGGCCTGCTGAAATTAAACCAGACCAGGGCATGTTGTGAATACTGGCAAAGCAGGCCTTCAGTTTAATTTAACACATGTACACAAAAAAAAGAAAAAAAAAAGCAGGAGCCAAATGTGCTTTTCTTACAAACATAACAAAATTGTTTATTTACCTTTGGCAAGAGATTCCTCCGTATTCAAATAAGAAATGAAAGCAGGAAGCACAAGACTCCTTTCACACATGCACACCTTTCTATAAATACAACCTTTTAACATGTCTACTTGCACCCTGGTCTCTTCATAAAGGTCACAACAGCAGTTCTTAACACAGTTGGACCTTGAAGCATTCAACTTTGAGTGCATGCAGTTACATTGATAGATAGTGACGCACAAAATCATTGCTCTGCATGAGTTCCATAGCTCACTACAGTAGTAGCTTATATCCAATCATTTTTTTTTTAAAATTTACAACTTTAAGGTATTCTTCTGTTACGAACTTTCCCAATCCAGAAGGTAGCCTTCTCTCTGTGTGGGAGGGAATTGGTGCAGTTCTCAGCAGCAAGAGCAGGGAACCAAATGTTATACACGCTAGAGTCAATACTGATAATGCTTGTAGCTACAAAAGCAAAAAATCTTGTGCACACATACTGTGGTTCTCCTGTCACTGCTGCTTGTACGTCTGGGGGAAAAAACAAAACAAAAACAAAAAACAAAGAAACCTGGGAGGAACGTAACAGAACATTATTAACCAGTTAATTAATCATTAACCAGATTAATGAAGCCAACAATGTGAAGTAATGCATGTCCAAAATGGCTAGAGGTGAACATTAAACAGAAACCTCTAGAGAAACATAAACAGGGCTTTGGAGAACAGTCTGTCAGTGGCCTCCAGACTTGCGTCCAGCCCAGGACCTGGAGCGAGAGCGTGACCGGGACATGGATCTAGAGTAGGAGCGTGATGGGGATCTCCTGACAGACTGTTTCTGGGATGGGTGGAAGTCTTCGGCAGGGCTGTGAGACCTGGACTGGCTCTTTTTACCTTTTGGTCTTGACCTGGACGCTGATGGGGAGCGGGAGGTGGAGTGTGAGGCCGTTTCATGGTGCGTTCTGTGGTGGTCACTGGGAGGAGCTTTGTGCCTATTGGGATTATCATTACAGTTACTATCATTACAGAGTACAGTGCCATGTTTATATGATTACTGAAATACAAGAGGACAGAAATGAGCTCACTTGTTATTTTCATGGCTTCTGCTTCTTCTGTGTCGGCTGTAGGATCGAGAGCTGAAGAGGGAACAAGAAAACAAAATTGCTGAGTTACTGTACAGTTTGAGTGAATTACTTTATATCCTTACAGCATGGCTTGCCTACATACAAGCAGTATATGGCTTCCTCTTTATTACATAAATTGTTTCCTGCAGAAACTGCCACGCTCGGACATCGTCCAAAGTTTCTGTGTACAAACCTGCAAACATCATGCCCTCTCACACGCTGCGCATGGCCCACACAATTACAGGAAACTACATTTATGGCACATGTCACAAGCAGATCATAACTAAAACATAGTCACAAATAAATATTTCACAAGAGGTGGTAGACTCACTCATGTCAGCACATAGAAATAAGTGCACAACAGCCACCAGGCACACAGCACATTCGTCTCAGAACACTGCAGAGTGTACAAGCTCTCCTTTAAAGTTAAATGACAGAGGGGAGGAACCACAGCAGGAACTGGTCTTATTGTGATTGGTCACTTTCAAAGCAATGACACTCCAAACTTGCTAAATGACTGCTTTAGTTAACTGTGTTGCACCAAGTTGCAATCAGCCAACAGCATGAGAGCCATTTCAGACTGTGTTCACTTACATTTTGGTAAATGAAGTTCACAGAATTGTTTTGTTTTTGTTTGTTTGTTTTTGTTGTTTTTTTTTAAATGTAATGACAACTTTCAATTAATTTAATATTTAAATGTAAAAAACAAACAAACAAAAAACAGAATTCCAAGGAATGCATTGCATATCAGTTTGTAATTATGAGGAAATTAATACTAAATATAGGCTCTACTTTAAAGTTCCACCAGAGAGACGAGTGATACACCCACCATGTTTCCTCAATCCATCATTCACCCATCAGTTTTCTTTACCGCTTATTCCACTCAGGGTTGCAGGGGCAGGATATGAAGCCTATCTCAGGGTTGTGAGGTGGGCTATAACCTGGATAGGTCCCCAGCTCATCATGAGAATAGCAAGTTGCTAATTTGCATAATCCAAAATTGCAAGATAGTCAACCGAGCAATTCTTTGAGGGATGTTGAAAAGTTGGTTAAGCTCTCATTTCAATACCCTTGACATATTAAACAGTTATAAACGTAAAAGACAGTGAAAGACAGAAACCCAAACTCAAGTCAGTCACAAGCTAGTGCACTCCTAGACCAGAGTCTAGATAAATGGGAGGGTTACGTGTAGAAGGGCATGCAGTGTAAAAACTGTGCCAAATCAAATAATTTTAATGTGGATCTATCTGCTATAGTTAAAAGTACATTTGTGAAAAAGCCACATTAACCGCTTGTTACGTTATCATTAAAGTAGTGGCCAGTTGCAATAGCTAATAATCAAACAAAAACGTTAAAGTGAGGGATAAGAAGAAAATGAGAAAAAGTCCTGCCTGTATAACGTCCTAATTTAACAGAATAACAATTAGTTATGTCTAAAAAGTGTTATGTTCGCAAAATCCCAGATTGAAGCTGAGAAAACAAACAAACGAAAACAACAAACAGTCACATATATACGTAAAATTCTGCCAGCCCCTGCAGTACCACACCCCCACCCTTTGTATTATATACGTGAATACATACATGTAAACACAAAAGATTTCTTACAGCAGGTAAGTTCTGACAGGGTTGTAGCTCCTGGATTAGGTAGATTTGATGTGTGATCATGTGTATGTTTTAATGCATGTTTTTGTCTCAGGTTTTGTCACAAAACAATTTCAAAGCCAAGTCACAGCTGGCTAAACTAAATGAGACATTTTTCAAAACATTTTTGTAAGTAGAAAAGTTAAAGTTTGTCATTTTGTCCACAATTGCCTACAGTCTCTCTTTAAACCACTATTTTCTCTGCTGCAGTATGCAGCTCGTTAGATCCTCAGCTCTGGTCTTCAGATCTAGTTCAACAAACCTCTGGATTCTCTGCTCGGTTCAGCTATTGTTCCCCTGACACTGCACAGCCAGTAACCTGTGTCGTTCTCCATTTGTCCATAATAAGTTGTGACTCACTGTCCACAGGCTGCTACATTACTGATGACAGGTGGCTAATGTTGCTATCATTTAGTTGCTAATAGTTAAACGGCAAATGTTAGCATGTTAACATTTATGATAACTCCAAATTCCTGAAGTGTTGTTCAATGCTCTCCGGTGGCAAAGAGGGCAGCTATTGGCCTTTCTATAGCTTGACCAGCCTGTGAAAAAAAACTTTTATTTTTATATTATTAAATATTGATACAATTAATATAACACTGTATATTTTATGTTGTGGATTTGGATTGCATAACGTTACTAAAGCTTTGATATAAATATGGGTTACTAAACCCTATGTCCCCATTTCGTTGAGTCACCCCTGTTGCAGGTATTGCTCTGATATAAAGTAGGACAGCTGCTTGCAGCTTTTAGCTAGCTGCCTAATCTAAACATCTTATCAGACTAAGCTAACAGCCCATCTCCATATTTTAACTTCAGTAGCTTTACTGTAGATTTTCCTTGTGGAAAAAACAAAAATGAGGATGACTACAGAGTTTGCTTCTCTTCACGTTGAAGGCTTTTAAACAGGTGGTTTGATGGAGAACTCCCACCAGCTTTTTCCAAATAAAGGTTTTAATAATGCTTGCAGGAATAAGTGCTGCTGTTTTGCACACTAGAAAATGTTTGCTTTAACCCCAGCTGAGCTCAGCATCTCAGTAACTGCTCTGCCTCTGCACTGTCTACCCACACAGAGCAGAGGCAGAGTGCCAACTACCCACACGGCATCTCCCTGATAAACTATGACAGCATCTTCCCTGCTGCTGTTGTGTTATCCGTTTTTTTGTTGAAAAATTGGGGGCTGCTTGGGCTCAATGTTGTAATATTTTTTTAATTTGCACATGTGCGCCAGATATATTTCTATTGCATATTTATTTTTAATACAAAACGTGTGTGAAACGCTTGCACTTACATAATGACATCTTAGTGCTACAGAGTTTAAACAAAGCAGTGAAGCAAAAAATTTGCATTGAGAATTTTATTTATATTCATGTTACTCGAATTGTTGCAGCCCCAGTATGTACACACACATCCCCCCCCCACTCTATTGAGTCATAAATTGCCCCTCCATCTTTCTCCTTTCTTTTTTCCTCCTCCTTTGCAAGTGCCTGCTTTCAGAGCTACAAACATCCATAGAGCACTCCTTCACACTCACTACATTTATATAATTATGTTTTTGGTGAACTTTAATGTCTTATATTCCTTAAAAGGCGTAAAAGTTGCCAAGAACTCACTCTCTAGGGCTCTCAGACCTCCGAGGGCGACGGTCAAAAGAAGGGCTCCGGGACCTGCGGCGATCATAACTGCGACTCCGTGATCGTCTTCTGCGGGTATCCCGATCATCCTCATAGCGAGAGAAACTGCGAGGGGAGTGGCGCTCCTTGGCCTTCATCTGATTAGGGGCTTTATTGACAAATCCACATCAAAAGGTTATGTAACAATACAACACATTTCCCAAAAGGAGATGGTGCAGTTAAGCTCAAGTAGGAATGCCAATGGGTCATACTCTTGCGGTCTCCCTGTGCAAACTGGATCTCAATCTGGCGCCCGCAAACCCATTTACGATCCAGGTTGTGAAGAGCATCTTCTGCATCCCGGACATCTTCAAACATGCTGGATTGTTAAGGACTTTTAATTTGGAAAGGTGGAGCTGAAAGCTGCACGCATGCAATAAAAAAATAAAATAAAATAAAAAAAACAGCAAGCAGCTGCAACACAAGTAAAATAAAAAGCAAACACACAAAAAAAAAAAACACACAGCTACTGGATCAGTGAGGCCAAAAATGTATAAGAGTAATTCATCATCTCAGCATATTTCTTTCATTTATAATTGACCGTCTTCCGTAATACCAACTCAAATTATGTAACATTAAAAATAGGCCCATTTGTGACTTCAAATTGTGAAGACAAGACAAATACTAATGGTGATCAGATTGGGTAGGATACAAAAAGTCTGGCTTGTTACCTTTAACATGCTTGACCTTCAGCTTGATCTTTATAGCCTTGGCAGAAGAACTTGAGGTTTCCTGCTTGTCTTTGCCCAATAAACACTTTTCTTTTCCTCCCTTTGGTAGACAAATGGAAGCCTGGAAGCTCTTTTTTGTCCTCTTTGTATCTTCATGCTTTTGCTCTGTCTTTATTTTCCAAATTCCACTACTGCTTGTCGCCTGGATGTCTTTGGCTTGAATCTACTCTACAACCGCCTTTCAACTTTCTTTGGTGTGGGGTCTCCATACCTGTATCTTTACCATTCTGAGGCAACAACAGAAGAAATATTGGTTAGGAGTATATTTAATGCTAGAAGCATTAAAAAAACAAACAAAAAAAACAATTACATTACAAAAACTCCTCTTAAAAGGGAAATATTAAATCAGGTGTTACTCAATTCACTGCACCCAACAGATCAGAGTTGATGCTTTACAATCCATTAGTGAAAAAGTACAAACATAAACTGAAAGAATAAAGGATATTGAATGTAAGCAAATCCTCTTGGTCGTCGTGTATAGAAGTCAAGTGGAATGTAGACATCTACAATAGGCCCATAACGACCAAACTCACGCCGTAAATCCTCTGGCCTAAAGTGTCATGAAATAAGCACATTTATTCTGCTGGCTACCATATGAATTTGGCTCGAGTCCAGTGTGCAGCACATACACAAGAGTTGGCGCCAGCAAAGCATCGGACATTGCTTACCAGCAAATAAACCGAATTACTTTCTTACTCATAAGGAAGTTTCCTCATCAGGACATCTAAGGTGAATTTGTGCAATTTAACCAGAAACTGTCTTTTTCACATATTCATTGCGGCCATAAAACCCATATATGGCACTTTTCACAGAAGTGATTTTTTTATTTTGTGAAATCAACCACACTTAAAAATCTACTTATTATCTTTAATAATAAGTACTTTAAGTCATACTATTCACATTTAGGCCTCTAGATTATCAAACAGAACTCTTTACGCTAATTTCCAAATACATTTTTTATTTTAATCTTGGCAGCAGAAACAATGTAGCACAAAGGCAGTTACACCTTAGGGATACCAATGTCCCCAGTTAGGAAGCATAACCCATTGTGAATCCATTTGACCTGATTTGGTGCCAATGTTGTAGCTGGCATCATGACATTCGTCATGGCATCTCCAGGCTCGCTCACACCTGGCACATGTACTCACTGTGGACTTGCATCCGTGAAGACAACGGGCTAGTTCTAAGTGTTGTCTGGTAATGCCAAACACAGTGTATGGCATGTGAGCACATGTCTTACTAAAGGATGCCCTACATAGTCTTTGGTCAGAAACACACACATGAGCAAGGCTCTGTTCATCTTCACACAAAGGAGCAGATACTGGTCCTTTTGCTGGGTCAATTCCCTTCTATGGCCCCGTGAAACTCCCCTGAAGGAATGGGCTGTCTTCTGGGATCGCCTCAACAGTCTTGTGGAGTCAGTCAGCACTCCTGACTGTTATTCAGTCAGAATAATACCAATTCTATTTGAGGGACTCTTTGGAAAGGATACGCATTGGCTAAAATTTCAAAACACTCAAAAGACATTCTGTTTAAAATAAAATTTAAAATGCCTTTACTCTCATAGCACAGTCAAGCAAGTGCCTGAACTTTTTGTTTAAGCTTAAACAGCCATGCCCTGAGGATAAAGGCCTTTTGAACTTAATTTGAAAACAGAGCACCTTGAAGTGCATTGAGATCCCTTCCACTGTCTTAAGCCTGTGCTGGGAGACAAATCAAACCTCGTGACAGGGCTTAAAGATGTGCAATCCTGTAAGAGGTGGACTATCTCTGTAACTCGAATGGACCACAGTCTTATGATGTCAGTAATGACATGGGCACCAGCAAAAAGTAAAACAAGAAAATAAGTGAGAGGGGATATAGAGAGAGCAACGGTCTGTGGCCACCACCTTCAAAACCATTCTGTCGTATTGTTGCCTCTCCAATCCACCTGTTATCACTTTCACGTGCACCAAAGCAGATAAAATGAATTCACTATTTATATGCCCGAAGTTTTAATTGGCTGTAATGTTCAAGCGTTGCCTTAATATTTTTAATGTTTTTTTTAATGATAGGAAGGACATAAAATTTAATTCCATAATTAAAAAGTGCATAGTGCAAAAGTGCGTAAACTACAGATATTGTAGTTTACTTGCAGGAACTGCTGCTGTCCAGCCTTTAGTTCAGTTTCAAAGACGTATTTCAGTCGTTTATTTTTTTTGTCCCTTCAGACAGGTCAGGGTGTAGCGTTAACTTCAGTAACAACACGAATGTTTCAGCTTCTTATTTCTAAGTATTACCAAATATTACACGGTTGTGTTGTCCGTAGCCAGCTTCTCTGTCCGGAGTCGCTCTCTGACCGTTAACGTCAGTTTCCTAATTTTGATGATGACATCACGTTGACATGTTTGCTAACTAACTAGCGTCACATTTAGCCTGACCATGCCTGCTTGCACGCCGGCGGGGTTGAAAGTAACAACGTACCTGGACTCGTCGGCGATGTTTCTGACAAAAAGAGATGTATTCGGAGGCCTCAGGTATCTCGCCATTTTTCAGCGGCCCGTTGCTACTGTAGAGAGGCCGTGAATTCGTGTATTGCAGCTATCTGTACCGCAGCTGAGACGGGCTACGTGGTCAGTCAGAGCGCTCTCTCGGCACTGCGCATGCCTAGAAGTAAAACACGACGGTCTCTCTTGCTCTCTCTTTCTCAGACCTCAGACAGGGATGTCAAACTGACAGTTTACATTGTGGACCACATATAGGCTACTTTGAGCATAATTGGATCAGTGAAACTCCCTCTTCCTGTGAATGTAAAGAGGTTTAATTGCATTACAATTAAGTAGCAAACGAAATAAGTTTGTCAGCACGACTGGAAGACTTAAATGTGCAAAATTAAAGAAAAATATTTAGTTCATTACTGAGACTGTCATGTAGTTATAAAGTTTTTGTTAATTCAATGTCTTTTGAATCCACAGAAATTCCTATGGTATATAACTGCCATTTAATTGTTGATCTATTATTTCATTACGTTATTATTGTGAATGGCCAAAGGGAGGGTCCTCATCAGCAGGAAATGTAATACAGTTAAAAGTCTAAAATCTGACCTTATGTGTGACAAATCTGTTTCATACTGTCTGTGATTATAAGAGAAACATATGGCAATCACAGAGTCCTGAAATTAAATGTAATTCCCTAAAAGTTAATGTTTTAAAATATTTGCCAAAATTTCCCTAAAATAACCTTATAAGCTTAAAGCTTCCTTAAGTTTTCACCTTAACCTTTCCTGATTTATAATTACTTTTTTATTTCATCAAACAGAAGCCAAATCCCCACACCTACCATAGAAACTGATTTATGCCTGCTCAAGCCCCCAGAACTATCCAAACCAGTATCACGGCATAGCGTGCATTAGACCCGCTAGTCCACTAGAGGATGGTGTGGACGTCAAGCCACAAGCACATTTCTCAATATAGCCGACATGGCAAACACAACTTTTATCAAATGCTTCTTTGCATGGATATCTTTTGTTTACCTAGTTAATAGTTTATAAAACACGTTAGACACAGAAAAAAGGCCTCACAAAGCAATGACCTCACGAAGACCATTGCAAATATAAGGGGACAGAAATATGACACACGCTGCTCTTTTTAATCAACACTTTTATTTAAATAGACACTGCTTTCTTCGCTGCCAAGTTTATATCCGTTTGCTCTTTCTGATGAGAGTTGTCGACCCAATGGTCAAAGTCTGAAATTGGATAAAGAAAAGAAAACACTTTTAAATTACAGACAATATTAAGATTATAATCCAGCAAATAGTTTGTTTGGTTTTTGATGCTGCTACTGTCTGAATTCTGGTAAGGTGGACTTTACCTCAACTATCTCTCCTCCTTTGAGCTCTTGGACGTGGCGGAGCCTGTCAGTTTTGCAGACCAGTTTGCCGCCCTCAATATTGACAATGCACTGCAGAGAAGTGGAAGAGACAATACACATAAAGAAACCCTCAAAACAGACAAGAAAATGAATTTAAACCCTTCACATCTTCAGGTCCACTAACATGTCATTTTATTTTACTTTACTTTTCCAGTAGGAAGAGGAGTATTCTTAGACACAGATGGCCGAACTTTAGTCAAACAGAAGCAGCAGATGCAGCAATAAGTGACCAATTTAACAGTGGTACTGTTGCCATAACACAAAATGGGGCAGTTTACTAAATATGAGTATGATTCACGAATAAAGAGAATGCAGCATTCTTTTAGTCTCTCAAAAGTTGCATCATCCTGAAGTAAATTAGCATTCAAGATAATATTTCATATAAAAAAAGAAGTTAAATAAAAATGAGTAACCTTGATCTTCTTGCCGTCCATGGTGGTGATATCAGCCTCCTTGCCGATGGTAAACGAGTTGGTCACGGACTTTCCGGGAGTCTTGGAGGTGATGACAAAGTCATTGCCACTCTGCTTGATCTCAGTGATTGGCTTGACGTCCTTGGCCACTTTGATGACATCTTCTGGGAGCTCTGTTAAGCAGAACACATGTATATTGTTAATTTATGCACAATAACCTACAACTTCAGCTACTGAAAATAATCGATTTTTTTCTTTACCGCCCAGCTTTTTTCTCACCCATGGCCCTGAGGAACTCCTCATAGTTCTCCTGAGCATAGACCTGCCACGTTCCACTGAAGTCCATGTTGTTTAGAGGGTCTGGCTTCTCCTTCACTGAAGTGGCGGGAGGCTGAGGCAGCTGTGTGAAGCTCAACACAATGTGGAGATTGCTAGCGTATGCCCCACCTTCTTATACTTGATGGTATAGGGCTCCCAGTGCTATGTCTAATGAGTAACAACGTCCTCTGAAGTAATCACATGTTTGAATAACCTGGAGTTCATTTATACCTATGTGGCGACACAGCGTTCACCAAAGGTCAATTCATATTGGTAAATTTAGTAAATTCAGTAAATTTAGCGTTTAAGAGCTTCACTGGTGTGAAAGATGTGCAGATCACACATGGACTTAGCAGTAAAATGCATGCCAGCCTATTTCACAGCTTGACTATTTTGATCCTCATTAGTATTATAAAGGAACAGCTATTCTTCTTTGAGGCTCCACTTGCAATTTATGACAAAGGATCTGAATCAGCAAAAGAGCACACGAACAAAGAATCGAACCTTTTATCAGAAGGATATCAAATCGTAGAGGAGTTTAAGGATGAAAAGAAGAAAATGCTAAATGAAAGCATTTCATAAACATGACTAATATGCAGACCTTAACTGAACCTCATTCACGTCTCCAGCCTGCTAATGTAAATCTACCACTCTGAGGTAAAGTAGAAAGGTTAATGACACTGCGGACTGTTTGCTTCCAGAGTGGAAAAGAAATCATTCATTGCAAAATCTATTTTAGAAGTAATCCACTAGAGAAAAATTGCTGTAAATCCCTTTATTCACTACACACACACACACACACACAAAATACAAATCTGCTTCAACGGAAACTAAGATCAGAGTTTAGGGTTTTTCAAAAGCACTTAAAGCGAGACTTGTTGAAACTGTCAGCATGACCAAAAGCAGATAAATGACAAAATGCAGTGCAAATTCAGTGCTAGTGGAGCAAGTAAAAGCCAGCAAACTAGCTCCGTAATGTCAATTACATATCATATCTATATGTATCTAATTGCTTACAGAAAATGCTACCATTGTTTACTGCAGAACACTGGCTACTATAGTGGTAGATCTTGGTAAACCCTCACTCCCTGCAGAAATATCGATTTTTGACTCAGTTTGGAGTCCTAACTCAACTCCACTGCATTAGCTGGAGGTTTCTCCCCATGCTTGTAAACACTCACGGTTACGTCAACCGTTTCAGAGCCGTACTTGTTGCGTACAAAGATGCTGTACTTTCCAGAATCTTCCATGTTGACATTGTTTATAGTGATGCTGCTGCACTTGGGCGCCTTAGTGATTGTAAAGTGATCCTGGCTGAATATCTCCCTATCGTTACGAAGCCAGAAAATCTCTGGGGCTGGTTCGCCATCAATGTAGCACGTCAGACACAGAGACTGAAGAGAAGGAGCAAATAAGATATGAAATGGCAGGTCACAGAGAGAAGCACATATGCAAGATTTAAACAGTTATTGTACCTTGCCCTCCATAATGGCTACCACATCAGGAAGGCCTTTTGTCACTTTAGCCCGATCTGAAACAAAAAGGCAAAAATAACTCTCTGCTGGCATATGATGTAGAATCTTTTAATCTTTGCCACGGAAAGAAATGTCCTGGGATTAACACATAACCTATCACTCACTTTTCTCTGCAATGGCCAGCTGCCTGAGGGATGAAAACAAAGGGTTAGATCAAAATGAACTGCACAGTGTCAGGAAACGATAATCTGTTTTCAAGTAAAACCTCTGTCTTTTGGAAAACTGTTCTGTCAGTGTCAGTAAAAGCCTAGATATCTCATCCAGTGCATTGGGTGTAGCACTTACTTTAACCTCTGGTGCTCCAACAGAGCGTCATCAAAAGCTGTTGGGTGTTTGAAAAATAATCACAATAAAAAATCTGGGGAAAAAACGATCTCACAATCTAAAACCTTTAAACTAAAATGACATTTGCACTCACCTTTTCCCGACAGGTCAAGAAACCGTTTGTGTGTCTCTTTGCCATCAAACATCTCCAATGTGTATTTTCCTTTATCGCTCTCTGTTGGGTTGAAGATTTCAATCCAAACCTTCTGCATGCTGCTGCCAGGCTTTGTTCTGGCTTCCTCGTCAATCCTCTTCTCTCTAAGCATGGAGAAGAGCATGTACACAGTTATGTACTGCCGTATATTAAAGTTACTATATAATACAGTTATGTTAGATCAGTGTGGCAGCCAGTGAGAAATGATTTCCTTTACATCACAGCTAAAGCATTTTTAGCACTGATTAGTGCAAAGAGACTAATGAAAAATGGAATGGCGTTAAGGAGCCTTTAAAATATTCTCATTTGCTGTTATCATTGAATGATCCAGCAGGGGGTGCTAGCAGTTTAAGAATTTGAAGGCTGTTTCCAGGCTATGTTCTTTGTAAAGCATATGAGGAGGATGAATAGGATATTTTAGTGTGCAGATTTGCATGTACACATCAAAGACATCAAGGCTCTTTTATTTTTAGGTCTTTAACATGTAGCTGTTGAACTTTATTAGACGTTTTACAGCCTGTTCATGTAAGGGAAGCAGCCTCAGACTTTCCCATAAAAACAAGTGTTGAGGTAAATTATCACGCAGTGGTAGAAGAAGTACTCGGACAGCGGTACTAATATCACAGTTCTCCATTACAACGTACAACTATTACAATCCATTACATTGAAAATGTATTTATGGCATAAACAGAGGTTAATAGAGCAACTTGTTTCCTTTTACTGCTTTGCTATTGATGTGCAGGATAGATATATATAGAGATGTATAGAGAAAGTATCAAATTCATCTTATTTTAGATTAAAATTACTTCATTATATATATATAT